TGTTTCTCTGTATGTCTTGCACATGTGGTAGAAATGACAATAAATGACTTTGAACTTTGAACACACACGGACCACCTCACATAGTTCACCCAGTTCCACATTACACCGAAGCAGAAACAAAGCAGCATGCATAAACACCACAGACACTAACGATATGTTAAATACATGTTTAATTTATGACAGCAACAAACTGGTAAATAATAACAATAAATAAACAAACCAGTGACATTTACAGAAGCCGGCACTCTGAATGGGAGCTGGAATTGCTTTTAGGAAGGTCTGAAACCGAGTGAGAGATCTGCAGTGAGGCTGGTCCAGTGTTGTGGAACCTCAGTGACTACTACGATGTCTAAAACAGGATCAGAAATGCTGCTGTGAACACATGACAGTTGATCTCAGGTCAGCTTCCTGTCGAGCTGTGTGACAACATCAGAGACTTCCTGCTGCTGCCTTCAGGAGCAGTGACAGAAAAGTTCAGAACATCACGTCTAAAGTTTTCGTCTCCTAAAAGTATGAGTCTCTGGAGAGTGGGTCCAAGACCTGGAAGTGGGTCACCAACACACAGAAAGACTCGGTCTGCATGTTGACCCACAAACCTGGTGAGCAGTGTTTGATCTGATCCAATGCTCTGCAGAGTTCTGTTGCGTTCTGTTTCTGTAGCTTGTTCCACAAAGGTTCCAAAACCCTAGGAAAAAAAATCATCTTTGGACCTTACCTCTAGCAGCGAGCAGTGAAACGAACATCACCAGAATCATCTCCACTTCCATCTTCCTGCTAGGCATTAACACACTGACCACAGAACAGCTCTGCAGCTTCCTCACCCTGTTCTGAATCTGACATCACCTCCTGTCAGTAACGTCACACTTCCTGTGTCTTTACCAAGCTCCTCACACAGCTGGGAGTTACTGATCTGTTCAGGCTCCGCCCCTTGTCAGATGACCAGAACCTTTTGAACTGGGATCCACTGATGGAGGCAGAATTCTTTAGCCACGCCCCTTTCCGCTGATGTTGTGGTGTTCAGCTCCCACCTGCAGCTGTGTGGCACCAGCGTCCACTCCCCTGCCGTACTACAGGTGTTCCACAGAAGCTCCACGTGAGGGTTTGGCCGAAGCCTCCCTGACGTCTGTTAACTCAGGATGCTGATCTGAGACGCACAGATGGATGCTTGTCCAGAACATTCCCAATCTTCCCATTTATGGTGTTTAACAGTGTGTTGTGTTTGATATTTTTAATAATGCTTTCCTTCTTAAGTGCTTCAGTCATTAAAATACTAATTTACATTAATAAATGTATGAATTAATTAAAACTCCAAGAATCTAGTCTGCTGTTTATGTGTGGAGTTAGCATGTTCTCCTCTACAGGTGTGTGTGTGTGTGTGTGTGTGCGTGCGTGCGTGCGTGTGTGTGTGTGTGTGTGTGTGTGTGTGTGACCGAGGTGATAACCTAAACCTCCAGCAGAGGGCACTGTTTCTACAGGCTCAACTCTGATTAGTAATCAGATCCTTTGACGTTCATTAAAATGTCCAATCAGAGGAAGATGATGATGATGATGATGATGAGTGGATGAGAAGATAATCAGATGTAGAGCGTGAGGAGAACAAGGATGACCTGAGGGCTTTGTGGAATTTCAGCTTTCATTTTGGAATTACCAGCTCCTCCAAGGCAGGAGGAGGAGGAAGGTCTGTTCTTCACTCTCTTATTCAATCCTGTGAAGAAGAGAAGCAGAAGTCTGACAGGAGGATTTGGAATGTTGTGAGGAATGGAAGCAGCTCAGAGGTGAAATCTTCACTTTGTGTTTCCTCTAAACATGTTTCAGTTTCCGTGTTTCGTTTAAAAATCTGATGATGCGGTGAGACGGAGCAGCGTTGGAAGTCAATGTAGGTCACTGCTCCTAATCTGCTGCACGTCATTGTTTCTGAGTCATCCGATGGGCGAAGAGACAGCATTTGGGATCAGCTGAAGATGTGACCACAGTTGTGCTGAAGAGGAACTCGGCAAGCTTGGTTTCACCATCAGAACGCTGCAAAAGCATTAAACTTTGGTTTACCACACAGCAGCTTCAAAGACTACGAAGCCTGGAAGCAACCTGTGACTCATCACCCCCGTTAAACTCAAGATGAAGTTTGGCAGCCGGCTGTGCACCTTGAACGTTGGCGGTCGCAGATTTTCCTTCCCGGCTGAGCTGGTGAAGCGTCTTCCTCTCAGCAGGCTCAGCCGGCTTCACCGCTGTGGCTCAGAGAGTGAGCTGCTGGAGCTCTGCGATGACTACGACCAGGACAGAAACGAGTTCTTCTTCGACCGGCACTCGGAGGCCTTCAGCTTCATCATGCAGTACGTCCAGCACGGAAAGCTGCGCTTCATGCCTTACATGTGTGAACTGTCTTTTTACAACGAGATGCTGTACTGGGGCCTGGAGAGTTCTGACCTGCAGCCGTGCTGCCAACGCCGCCTGGATGACCGCATGTCAGACTGCTACGTCCATTTCTTCCCTGAGGAGGAGCCACGGCCCCCCCAGGAGCCTCAGAGTCGTTGGCTGGAGAGGACGAGGAAGACATTTGAGGAGCCCACATCCTCTCTGCTGGCTCAGATCCTTGCCTCCGTGTCAGTGCTCTTCGTGATCATCTCTATCGTCATGCTGTGTGCGAGCACCTTACCAGACTGGAAGTCTCCAGAGACCCTCAACCAGCACAGGTACCATCAGTCCAGAACCATCGCAACACAAGCACGTTCACACTGGTTTCGATTAGAGATGCAGTAAACCGGTGAAGACTCGTGTTCGTGGTGTGTTAGCCGGCTAGCTAGCTACGTGCTGAGGGCAGCGTAAGCTCCCAACACATTCTAGACTATCTGGTAAACTTGACCTCAGATGTGTCATATTTGGATGTCTTTAGAGGGAGTAGTAGCTTAAGGGTTGGGTGTATGATACGTGTATGGTCAAAACAATATCCATTATTTCCAATATTACATTTTAACGCTGATATTGGCAGATATTATCGATACACTGATAACAGCGAGCATCCCTAGTTTTAACGTTTTGGTGAATGCTGTATCACAACACGACATCTGAAAAATGAGATAAATATGAAACACGGCACGAGTCATCCTCAGGTTTTCCAACAAGTCGATGAGAACAGCTAACTACTTCATGTCAGTGGCAAAGTAACTCAAGCAGGAGAAAAGCTAGAGGCGGGTCCAGTCAGAAGCTTCGCTGAACAGCAAGAAGGTCCAAAAAAGTGAAAATGATGTTCTCTGGTGAAAAAAACACAGCAGGAAGAAGATGTTCATTCAGGCAGCTAGAGGTTGAGCTCTGCAGGTTTCAGTTTGTTTCAAGGCTCCTGAAGCCTCAGATGCAGAATCACCCCCAACCCTAGACAGCTAACCCCAAAGCCCCGGAGAGTGAGACACTCTCTGAACCACGGGCACGTGGTTCATGTAGCCCCGAATAGTTCAGCTCAGCGCTGCTAGTCAATAAAAGACGCTAAAACGACCCTTTTTCCGTTTTTACAGTTTTGGTGATTTCTGACCTATAATGTTTATGGATTATTACACAGATTATGTATTTTTAACTGACAATTATTAGTTTTATATTTCAGAGGGCAGCCAAGCTGCAAGCAGAACGTAGAAAACATTGAAGTTACAGATCAGATTTAGCTAAAACAGGGATGATTATATAAAAATAAGTGTTTATATTATACACTCATCAATGTAAGGATGTAGTTTATAATTAAAGAGCTTCTGTTGTCTGCATGCTAGCATAGATGCAATACTTTTGTCCTGACATAGACATAAATGTCAGAGGTTCAGAGCTCTGCTCCTGCTACCTTCAGATCTACAAAGCAGGAGATGTTACCGTTTCCAGGATTTAATCCTCAGTCTGTTCTCTCTGCCTGCTGTCAGATGGAACATCAGCTGATCTAAATCCGTTTTGAACAAGGTTTTAATGGCTAGGAGGAAAACATGTGGCCGTAGATGCATCTCTAACCTGCTGATTGAGCTTCCAGCCTAACAACTAGTGGAAATAGCAACTGTTTATATAAATAAAACTGTTTCTGGGTAAAACCTTTTTAGACGACACATTGAGTGTGAGTGAGTTGTCCAAAACCAAATGAACAAACATTTTTCATCTATATATTTATTAAAAACCAGAGGTCATTATAACAGAAAACTGTGTGATTGGTTTAATCTGCACATTTTCAGTCAGGCATCGACCTGTTTTAGTCTCTAATCCACCGGACCTCATAAAGAACTTCTGCTGCAGCAGCTCAGCAGGCTCCAGACTTCTTCAGGACATGAGGATCCCTCTCTCTGACATCAGAGCCCTCCACAGAAACACCTTCAGCTGGAACCAGGTGTCTGCTGCTGCTTTCATGGAGCTCCCAGATGTGGTGGACGCTCTAGAGACAAGCAAGTCTTTGAGAAAGCTACAGTCTTCATGTCATGATGTGTAAAGTTAGCAGCAGATTCATCAGGCTGAGATTAGGGATTACAGCTAAACTGTCTCATGGTGAGCATGTTGGAAATAAAGAGACAAGAACAACGAAAAACATCATCTAGCAGCACAACAAGCACACCTCCACCACCGCTCCAGCACCAGTACAGGCGAGCGGTGTGTTCGGAGGGTTTTTAGGTCCTTTACCTTTAATTTTAATACCAGTGATCCCGTAAAAGTTCTTACATTCATGCAGAATCGTCAGGAAACCTCAGAAAAAGTTGTTACAGTGCAAGCATTAGTTTTGGTATATCAGGCAACGCTGGCACGGGAGTCAAGTGCTCACCCATGATTGGAAGGTTGCAGGTTCGAGCCACACTCAGTCTGTCGCTGTGTCCTTGGGCAACCCACCTTGCCTGCTGTTGGTGGTCGGAGGGACCGGCCGCGTGGACATGAATGCAAAGGCAGCGGTGTGACCTGTAACTGTTTAGTTACACATCTACAGTTATTTATTTATGCTGATATTTCATCATTAATAAATCCTAATTTCTTGTTCTGTCTGTAAGTAAAAACTCTAATCCCAGTTTGAGCTCAGATGATGGATTACTGATATTAAACAGATGCAGATGAACAGTCCTGCAGTAAATACCAACTCTGTAAAGGTTCTGATGTTCAGACGTCCTGGTCCAGCTTTGGTTCTCCTGGAGGACACATGATGCTACCTTGGTGATCCTGAGTGTGTAACGTGCTTCAGCAGGTTACAGAAGTCAGCATCAGGTGGTTTAACTGAAACATATGAAATAATTACTCATGTTCATGATCTCATTTATGCTGCTGTCTGATCTACATCTAACTAAACTAGCAACGACCGTCTCAGGATAGAAACAGCTTCTCTCTAGTTGAGATGGTTTAGTAACCGGAGTCAGAGCGAGTTACAGAGCTGTTGCTCCTCTACCACTCTGATCTTTACACACGGACATCCTTGTGTCTTAACCCTTTGATGCATGAATTATGAAATCTTCTACCATGATTTTTTTTAACAATTTTTTTCATTCATCTTTAGGTGTGAATGAAACAAATTTCAACAAATGTTTTTTGTAAAATTTTATAATTTACAAATAATTTATTACATGTCCACTTAAGTGGGCAGCGTGCATTCTGAGCATGAAATATGTTGGCTTGGCTTACTGAAGTCCAAACGGAGGGGCTCAAGTCAAATGCAATAAAGTCTTCAACAGCTGTGCTTAATTAGCCTAGTGAACTAGACCAAATTCTTGCTTTGCAAAGTTTGGTCTAGGCATGCTCCATTGGAACCTCTGCAGCTCCTGCCAGGATTCTGGCTAGCCAATCACAGCTCTCTAGAGGGGTTTCAAACACATAAAGAGCTGTGATTGGTCCATAAAGGTGGGCCAATCATAGTGCTCTATCTGCTTAGTGAACAAATCACAGAGCTTTATCCGCTTTGTGGGCCAATCAGGGCACTCTGTATGCCTGGTGGGTGGGATGATGCAACAGAGTGAAACAAGAGTATGTCACATTGATTGTCCAGTGGAATGCGGAGATCATTTGAAAGACAACGGTAGAACCCGCCCCACAACCGAGAGCCGTCAATGGAGCGTGGCCAGACTAGTGCTTAATAGCAAAAACAAATTAACAATTTTGAGTACCTGTCCACTGTAGTGACCATTATGCATCAAAGGGTTAATAGAATGTAGTTTAAACTCAAAAATCTCTGAAAAACTTACACAACTCCAAACATAAATATTTTAAACTGTGCTGAATCAGACAGAAGTAGCCATTTAGCCCCCTAAAGCAGGCCGCTAACAACAAGCTAACTGCAGTTAAACTACGACCAGCTGGTTAACACGATAAACGAATTAAAACTGGCCACAGGACAACCATTATTGATGTATTCTGGTTCGAGGCAGTGAGCTAACGCTTCACAAGGCCAAAATGTTTCGTTAACTTACCAAAGGAAAAGAGCTCAGAAATTCCGAGAAGGACACCTTACAACCACAAACAGAAACGTTTCTGTGGTAGACCAACGCAAAGTAGCTCAGAAATGTAAGTGAAATGAAAATGATGGTTTTCACAACTTTGCACAAAAGAAAATCTGAAAAGTGTTGTATATCTTCCTATTGCTTTTCTGAAGTTCTTTTCCATCATGGGAAGATCCCCTCCCCCCAGGATCACGACTCCATCATCGCTTTAAAGTGGATGTTTATCAGAGGGGCTTTCTGAGGGCGATGTTCTCACTGGACGTCCTAACTGAACCAAAGAGGAGCGTGTATGTGGAAGTCTACTGTGGTGGACTTGTCTTGGGTTACTTTCTAAATACTATTACTCAGTCCTACTGTTAATTAAAAATCTGTGGTTTCAGGACTAGATGATGCGGAAACACAACAAAGGTTTCAACCAACATATTTTTCATCAATTCAGCTGTTATTGAGTCAAGTTTGATTTTGTGGTAAATTTCTCTCCCCTCTCTCCTGTTGGTTCTCTCTCCCCTTCCCCGATTGGTTGACTCTGCAGGATCATCGAGGCTGTTTGCATCGGTTGGTTCACAGCTGAATGTCTCGTCCGATTCCTTGTGTCTAGTGATAAATGTGAATTTGTTCGTCGCCCTCTGAACATCATCGACCTGCTGGCCGTCTTGCCTTACTACGTTTCAGTTTCTGTGACAATGCTGACAGGGGGAAATTCCCAGCTGCAGCGAGCCGGCGTTCTACTACGTGTCCTGCGCATGATGCGAATCTTCTGGGTGATAAAGCTGGCACGTCACTTCCTGGGCCTGCAGACCCTTGGCCTGACCCTACGCCGCTGCTATCGTGAGATGGTGATGCTTCTCATCTTCATCTGTGTTGCTATGGCAATCTTCAGTGCACTAGCCCAGCTACTAGAGCACGGTTTGGACCTGGAAACTGGAAATCAAGATTATGCCAGCATCCCTGCTGCCTGCTGGTGGGTCATCATCTCTATGACAACAGTAGGATATGGGGACATGTACCCAGTGACGGTAGCGGGCAGAGTGCTGGGTGGTCTGTGTGTGGTGAGTGGCATCGTACTCCTAGCACTACCCATCACCATCATCTACCACAGCTTTGTCCAGTGTTACAATGAGCTGAAGGTGCGCTCTGCTCGCTGTAACTACAGTCCATCAGCGAAAGTCATCGACTGAATTGGATTCTTCAACTCCTGAGGAGGAGAAGCAACAGCTGACCACATCTGGTTCTCATCTACTGTACTAAAGCTGGTTTAGAACTACGTCACCTTTAGCGATGACAGCATAAAACGCATGTCCATTAGAAGTAGTAAAATAATGTCACTGGTAAAAGCTGTGAGTCTGTGGATTGAACCAGAATCAGAATTATTTTTACTGTCAACGCCCCAGCTTCCTGAAGCAGTCCAGCCTGACCAAGGTTACACGCAGCGACACGTAGAACAAAAACAGATAGAGGCAGACCACGAGAGCAGCTGTCAACGGGCAGGGGCATTTCAGAGGTTACCCCAGAGAGAGCTGCAGCCTCAGTGCATGTGCCTGATCGCTGTTGTTCACAGGTCGGAGGGAGATCGAGGGTGTGAAGAGCATGTTGACTCCTTCAGTTGGTGACCTCACCAGGCTAGACCACCAGTCCAAAGGCCAGGGGTAGGGCAGTTTTTCACAGCATTCCTTCATGGAGAATTTTATCTTTTGCACCTCTAAGCTGCCAGGGCACAAGATTCAGAATTGTTTGGGTCAGGCAGAGACCATTTTTTCTCTGCCTTTCAGTTATGTAACTGGTCTTTAGTCTCTCAGTAAATCCAATAATTGGGTATTTAACTTGCCAGTGCCTTGCAGTGACTTTCTCCAGGATCACGTCCATTTTGCACGCTAACACCGGGATTGCAGCTAGGATCTCTAGCTTGTGTTTCACCTTGAGCAGTGTCCCAGTCTGAACCGTCTCTACACGGCTGAGACTTTCAGTGGGTGTGAGTGGCACTCCAATAGCAACCAACTCCCCAGTTTTCCAAAATACCAGAAATCCTCCCACTCCAATCAGAAGAAATGTAGAGTACAACCCAGGTCGATAACAGAGCCCAGCATAGGAACTGGGAGGAATTTTAAAGATGCCAGCAAGTTGCTAATAAGTCCCAGATGTATACAATGGAGCAAAAAAGTATATAGTCAGCCACCGATTGTGCAAGTTCTCCCACTTAAAATGATGACAGAGGTCAGTAATTTTCATCATAGGTACACTTCAACTGTGAGAGACAGAGTGTGAAAAAAAATCCATGAATTCACATGGCAGGATTTTTAAAGAATTTATTTGTAAATCAGGGTGGAAAATAAGTATTTGGTCAAGAACAAAAATTCAACTCAGTACTTTGTAACATAACCTTTGTTGGCAATAACAGAGGTCAAACGATTACTATAGGTCTTTACCAGGTTTGCACACACAGTAGCTGGTATTTTGGCCCATTCCTCCATGCAGATCTTCTCGAGAGCAGTGATGTTTTGGGGCTGTCGCCGAGCAACACGGACTTTCAACTCCCTCCACAGATTTTCTATGGGGTTGAGGTCTGGAGACTGGCTAGGCCACTCCAGGACTTTCAAACGGAGCCACTCCTTTGTTGCCCGGGCGGTGTGTTTGGGATCATTGTCGTGTTGGAAGACCCAGCCACGTTTCATCTTCAAAGCTCTCACTGATGGAAGGAGGTTTTGGCTCAGAATCTCACGATACATGGCCCCATTCATTCTTTCCTTAACACGGATAAGTCGTCCTGTCCCCTTAGCATAAAAACAGCCCCAAAGCATGATGTTCCCACCCCCATGCTTCACAGTAGGTATGGTGTTCTTGGGGTGCAACTCAGTATTCTTCTCCCTCCAAACACGATGAGTTGAGTTTATACCAAAAAGTTCTACTTTGGTTTCATCTGACCACATGACTTTCTCCCAATCCTCTGCTGTATCATCCATGTGCTCTCTGGCAAACTTCAGACGGGCCTGGACATGCACTGGCTTCAGCAGCGGAACATGTCTGGCACTGCAGGATTTGATTCCCTGCGGTTGTAGTGTGTTACTGATGGTGACCTTTGTTACTGTGGTCCTAGCTCTCTGCAGGTCATTCACCAGGTCCCCCCGTGTGGTTCTGGGATTCTTGCTCACCGTTCTCATGATCATTTTGACCCCACGGGATGAGATCTTGCATGGAGCCCCAGATCGAGGGAGATTATCAGTGGTCTTGTATGTCTTCCATTTTCTGATAATTGCTCCCACAGTTGATTTATTCACACCAAGCTGCTTGCCTATTGTAGATTCATTCTTCCCAGTCTGGTGCAGGTCTACAATTCTTTTCCTGGTGTCCTTCGAAAGCTCTTTGGTCTTGGCCATAGTGGAGTTTGGAGTCTGACTGTTTGAGGCTGTGGACAGGTGTCTTTTATACAGATAATGAGTTCAAACAGGTGCCATTAATACAGGTAACGAGTGGAGGACAGAAAAGCTTCTTAAAGAAGACGTTACAGGTCTGTGAGAGCCAGAGATTTTCCTTGTTGGAAGTGACCAATACTTATTTTCCACCCTGATTTACAAATAAATTCTTTAAAAATCCTGCCATGTGAATTCATGGATTTTTTTTCACATTCTGTCTCTCACAGTTGAAGTGTACCTATGATGTAAATTACTGACCTCTGTCATCATTTTAAGTGGGAGAACTTGCACAATCGGTGGCTGACTAAATACTTTTTTGCCCCACTGTAAGAGAAAAAAAAGTTAACAGCTGAAATAGCAGGAAATAATACAGTTAAAGAGCAAATTGTGGAAGAAAGTAGTCATGTAGTCAGTAGTCATGTATCAGTGACCCACACCTTTAAATTGGCAATGTGTCATTTTTAACATTAATCTCTGGAAATATCCATCAAAATGTTGTTGTAAATTAATTAAAAAATGCCCAGTTGTTGTAAAATATTGGCCCTTTCGTAACATGTAACCATAAAAATCAGGTCTAAAATACATGGGAGCGGGTCTTATTCTCTGGGCGATGCCAAATTGGATGCCCTGTTTCCTTCTATGGGAGCCCGAGAGGAAAAAATGCATTCACTGATTTGTAACAAACGGTTACAAAACTTTCACCATTAAAAACATTGTTCTTTACCTCTTCACTCATTTCCAGTGATGAAATGTAATCTGATGTTCTTGTTATTTTGCTGGAGGTTGTGCTCCAGGGACATTTGACCCTAATGGCCATCCGTTGGTAAGGTCTTACTTGATCACAAAAATGATGCTTTCTTGCAAAGATTTAGGTATGTACTGCCCCCTATCGCAAGGCAAAATACACACAGTCCCTTTAAAAAAACACTTCATGCATTTATGAATTAATGGGTCAGGGGGTGGAGGTGGGGTTGGGTGCAAATATTGCAAGGCCATGAGGTAATGGTAAGAAAATCAGCTGGAGCATAGTTTTTCTGCCTACAAGTCTACACTCCACATTTCATGTTCGTTAGAAATCTGCATAATTAGCCTGAAATCTGAATGTGTTTTTTGCCCATTTGAATTCAGTTTGAAGAGACATGAGTGTGAAAACCAGAATTACAAGAAGTTTGTGGGAACGTAGAGGATGGTGTTGTTTACATCTGTGTAACAATTATGTTTAGGGTTTAGACAGTCGGATATCGTGTGTGTAGAAAAGGTCATTTTATGTATTATTACATGTGTTCAAAATGCTGTTGATTGAAAAGAGAGTAAAAAGCTCAGAGACAAACAGGAAGTGTTGGAAACATTTGGTTTGAATGTCAGAACTGAAGAGTGTGAAATGTCTCACTGCTTCTTCTTCTTCTGAGTGAAATGCTGTCGTCTTTAGGCTGAAGCGCGAAAACACTGACTGCCCCTTCATAATAAAACCAGTGTACTTTGTTTGCTTGTCTTTATTCTGACTTTGTGGATCTGTTTGGTACTAGCAGGCACACACACACACACACACACACACACACACACACACATCTTAAAAGATGAACACACACATTTATAAAACAGAAAAAAGATAATGATGTATATTAGACGAGGTTCTTTTAGCTTCGGACATGAAGGTCTTTCGAGTTACCTTTACATGTTTCGACAGTTGTCTGCGGTCTTCATCGGAAATGTCACAGGTGTTTGTGTGACGCGTCTTTATCAGCTGTTCTTCTGGTGGGTGCGACCAACCAGGATCTGTGAGATCTGCCGGGTCGGTCATGCCCACCTCCGCTGGCTGGTCTTTGGAGAAGGGAATCCCAGGTGCGAGACAGCTGATAGGCCCTCTCGTCTCTGTTCATGTTCCAATGTTTCCGTTTCCTTATTGCCTCCCTGACCCAACGTTTGAACCGGTTGTTCTCCGTGTTGATAATTTTCCCTTGATCCCAGTCAATGATGTGATTATTTCGTTTGCAAAGATCTTAGATGGCTGACGAGGATTTGCTTCTTTGCTTTTTTCTTTGTTGTCCTTCTGAGTCTTTCTGTTGTTTCCTTCTCACATTCCTTCTGGTGCTCTTTTCTTTTTATGCCATATGTTCTGCCAGTGTCCCCTATGTATGTTTAATTGCATGACATGCAGGGTATTTTGTAGATTACATTACATTTCTTGTCTGGTTCTATTTTGTCCTCGGGGTGTACTAGTAGCTGTCTGAGTTTCATGTGACACAACAGCATACCCAGACAATTAAAAAATGATAAAAGAGGTGGAGCTAAGTGTGAGGATGTTATGTTTGGAACAGGGTTGGAACAAGTGAACCAGTGTAGCTACTAGCTAACTTGGCTAACCCAGGAAGGGCTCCTTGGACCGGGGTACCACCCGCAAGGCAGACTGGCTCCTGTGCAAGGCTGTAGTCATGCTGATCGCCTATTCTATTATGGACTGGGACTGTTAAATACCAAGTGGAGCCTAAGGCCGCTGCGATTGTAACTGGGTGCCGTGGTCTTTTACATCAGCTCTCATGGTCAGAGATAAGTGGGGCACTAGCTACATGCTAACCCAAAGCTAACGCAGTTTTCCGGCCGTTTTCAGCAAGAAAAACACGGTAGAGCGATTCCAAAGCAAAGGCACCTCTGGCCTGCTTATATGAAAACATAACTATTTAAGCCGACCAAGGCTATCAGGCTTCACTGGTCCACCACAGTGAAAGATGCGTGTGTCCGCCGTTGTGGATGGTCCCTTCTCCAGGAGCCAGAGGTCAGCGGGACTTTAGCTACATACTAACCCGAAACTAACAGAGTTTTTCCGGGTGTTTCCAGCAAGAAAAATGCGGTTGAGCATCTCAAAAGTGAAGCAGCTTCAACAAAAAGAGCTGTGGTGATTCTGTGGTCTCCCTCAGAGATCCACCATTGACCAGCATGACTAGCCTTGCTTCAGAGCCAGTCCAGCTGCCCCGGGAGATGGGAACAGGCATTCGCCTGCTATTCTCAGGCAGGAGACAGGAGAAGCTGGACACCCGCTCAAGTTTCTTATCCAGCCTCACTAACATGTTTGACCAAGCAGTTAAAGGACACAGCATTGCCCCCCATTCAACCATTGAAAGAAAGTACAGAAATATAATTTTACTTACTGATAAAAAGAAGCAGAAACAGCTTGTATGGTCAGTTAGTAACCACAACTTGCCCTTGTGTCCAACTAATTCCATGATTAACATCCAAACACGCACAGACAAACTAAAGGTGTGTCTACATTACACCACGAGAGTTGGAAAGTCCTACCTTTACCTTCTTTGAGTTGTAGCCACCATCTACCACCCTCCTAAGTATAACAAAGACTTTTTAAACAACTTTTCCCACCTGCTTTCATGTTTTTCTTCCCTGTCACAAAATCTAATCATCCTGGGTGATTCCATTTTTGGTTCATTTTTAAACACAGATAAAGGTTTTTCTTTACCTTGCTGACGGTTTCGTTTGTGGCTGCAAACATCTTCAGAGCTGACGCTGATGGTGGTGTCACTTCCTACTCCATTTATCCGCGGGCAGCAGAGGACATTGTCACCCTCTGCTGCCCGCTCTCCCCTCTCTGATGAGGCAGTCCCATGCACGATTCAATGAGTAAACACCATCGTCTCCGCGGATAAACGGAGTAGGAAGTGACGCCACCATCAGCGTCAGCTCTGAAGATGTTTGCAGCCACAAACGAAACCATCAGCAGGGTAAAAAAAAAAACTTTATCTGTGTTTAAAAAAGAACCAAAAATGGTATTCATTTCATTGTTTTTATTTTTACATCTTAGTGTTTTTATATATTTTTGT